CGCTCTTATTTAACATTGCTATTTGTTTAATAATTTCATCAACGTGTGTTTTAAATTCTATAGCACATCGCATAATATGTGAACAAAAAATCAAAGTACATCGGAGTTTTATCGCGTAAACTTAACAATATCGAAGTAAATATCAAATGAAGATATTTTAGATGTACATTTTACGTACTTTACGAATTTTTAAAAAATTCTCTTCAATATTTTCAAATAAATACTCTGTTTCTCGCAAAATATATGTATAAAAACGAAATGATAAATACATACATACATATATATATATATATATATATTTACAAAGTCACTATTGACATTGCTTATGGATATTGTTATTTTCACGAAAAAGAAATAACGAAATTTTCTTTACATTTTTGCTTTTATTTTTCATGTGCATATCATTATTATTATTGTTAAATATCTTTTTATCTATTTATATTTATATCATCATAAGAGTTATTAAATTTGATTAGTCTTGTTAAAAATAATTATTTCACAAATAATTGTAATAATAATCCATAGTAATAAAATATATATTAGAAAAGAAATATAGCTGATTAAGGAATTTGTATTTAAAAGTTCAAGTGCCACAAGTGCGAGACAAAGTGCGCTATATATTTTTCAATCGTAAAATTTATGAACATGATTTCGCTAGCAATACATTCATGTCATTCATTGCTTTTATGCATAATTAAAAAAATGCTTGCTCACAATTACAAACAATTGTTACTCAATGCGTACGTATGATGGGAAAGATCCTTTAAAACAAAAATTATACCGCACTTAAAAAGCGTAATTTTATTTTCCAATGATAATCAGCGCTCATTGTTGGCTAATGAGACACGAGCAATTTTCTTTACAAGCAGTGCTATATTTTCCTACATGTTTCTTTCTCGAAATTGTCGAAAGATCACTTTAGTATGGATCGTCATTTATAAAAAATGGTCTTGGCACAAACTAAATTATCTTAAGACTTCGGCTTTTTTTAATATCAGATGGTACGACTATCGACATTCGCCAGATTATTTTAAAGATAGTTTAGATTACTTTAGATAGTCGTCCAGAAGAAATGTTGTAAATGGTTAGCAACATAACAATTTATAATACCTATATCGCCATTATTTCGTTTTTAGTTTTATTCTATTTTCTCTACTTTGATTATCATATGAAAAATACAATCTGCATTTACAAACATAATACAATCATTCATTTATTCCAAATTATTCGTTAAATATAAGTATTTATTAGTCAAAATTTCATTTATTTATAACAATAGCGTGTGATGAAATTTGAAAATAAAAGCATTTAATAATATATCAAGTAAGTCTTTGACTATGGAGCGGTAAAGCTAAGATTTGCGCTGAAAATAATTTAATAAATTGTTGCGACAAAATGTCGGGCTTATTTTGTTCGGAAGAAGTTGTGATAAAATTTTGAGCAAATAGATTACATATATTTTGTACTTTTAGCCATGAAAATATAGCACGAACTGTTTATACTATAAATTAAAAATGTGCCAATTTAATGTTATATAAAAAATAGTTAACGCATTCGAATTATCGTAAGCGTACCGAAGAATTTTCTAAATTTTCAAAAAATATATATAAAAATATTTATATACTATTAAGTCAGCTATTTTTATGCTCGATTATCATTGTATTTGGGTTTTTTTTTCCTTTTTAAAAATAACTTATTTGCCAAGATTTTACGACACTATGAAGATCGAATTATTTAACATAAAAAATGTTACTTTAACAATAATACATGAATTTTAGATATTACTTGAGGCCTTCGTCAAACAGACCTAATCTTCACGTATTGATCAACGCCCACGTGACGAAAATTCTGTTTATGTCGGAAATAAATAGAGCTTACGGGATAGAGCTGATTGATAAGGATGGCGAGGTGCGCAAATTTATGGCGAATAACGAAATTATCTTAACTGCTGGAGCCATCGGATCGCCCCAAATTCTCCTGCATTCAGGCATCGGACCCAAGGGGGATCTCGAGAAACTTAATATCCCCGTTATTCAGGACTTGCCGGTTGGCAAGAATCTCCAGAATCACGTATCCGTTGCCATCAAGGTAATCGATGAAAGGGATCGATCGAGCCAATCAATTAAATAGAACTTCTTTAAAGATGTCGATCATGGACAACGATTACGAGAGCTTGTCACTGGACTCGGTGAACCAGTACGTGTTCAACCGGAGCGGCCCTGTCTCGAGTACGGGCTTGACGCAGCTCACGGCCTTCCTCGAGAGTGACTTCGCCGTTCCCGGGGTGCCGGACATCCAGGTGTTCTTCGATGACTTTAGTACGGGTTGCGCGCGCGCTAGCCTGGACAGCCGGGAATGCCTGGACGAGTCGCTCGACAGCTGCGCCGAGCGCCGGTTGATCGTCGCGAGACCAACGGTCGTCCGGACCAACAGCCGAGGATACCTCAAACTCAGGTCCGATAATCCTCTTGACCACCCTCTCATTTATCCTAACTACTTCACCAACGTCACCGACCTCAAGATCCTCGTTCAAGGCATCAAGAAAGTCGTCGAGCTCACCAAGACCATTGCTATGTGGAAGTGGGACTTGAAGCTCGAGCCCCATCAGCACCCTTGGTGCTCGAGGTAACCCCTAGAACTCATAATCTCCATCCGTCGATTGTTTTCTCTTTTGTCTTAATGCATTTAAATTAATCGAAACTGAGCTGGAAATCCTAAGTGACGGGCCATTGACTGTGCACGGTGAAATGCAATCGACGATCCAACGGTCGATAACGTCGAATTCCTTCGTTTATCGGCTCTAAGACCCCAACCAAATTGTTTTCTAGGTTTCACTTTGGCACGGAGGCGTACTGGCAGTGTCTCGCCCGTGTGAAAACCGGCCCCGAGAATCATCAGTCGGGCACCTGCAGGATGGGCGGTGACGAGTTCGAGGCCGTCGTCGATCACGAGCTCCGCGTCCACGGTGTGAGGAACGTCCGCGTGGCCGACGCCTCGGTATTTCCCGTATTGACGAACGCGAATCCCGTGTCGGCCATCGTCGTCGTCGCCGAGAAGGCCGCCAGCATGATCAGCGATTTCTGGAGGAGGAGCCCCTGGTCCGAAGAAGAGCTCACCACCTTCCGAGCTATCGCCAACTATTTAATAAACAGAGAATAGCGGAGGAAGAGGATGGAGAGCTCGGCTAGGTGCGTTTGACCGTGGGCACGACATTTCTGTCCCAAATAGCCAAGCGTGAACTACAGGCTCCGTCCATGTTAAAACCGTTTACAATGTAAATCTATTTCCCAGCACATTATCTATTATCGTAATCTTCGTTCTTACTCAAAGGAATTTTCCTATTATTACATTTCGTATAACAAAATTCAAAAGAAATGCAAATGCATTATACACGAGGAGCGTCATATTATCATATTCATTAGGAAGCTCTCGGATGCGGTTTGTGGATCATCAATGGTCGTATCCGCTTATAAATCCGAGAGAGACGAAACAAGTCTTGGCATCATCAAAGACTTGTTGTTCAAAAACTTTTTTAAGTCAAAAGCCAAACGACATCTGTATTGAAAGTGCGTATTTTCATTTATACGGCCGCATCCTCTATCGGAGTAATAATCAGTTTGTGATGTTACCACAGTGTCTTGCTCTCGGATATCTGTTTATATGTATATTCGAGTGCTCCAATGTCACTTCAAGTATTCCCGAAGCATTGTTACCGATTGCAATTGCTTTTAAATACATAATACCTGGAATTTTAAAACTCTCCACGATTATTCAAATGCATAATGCTCGATGTATAAGAAATATGAAGAAATGCCGAAGTTTAAATCGATGATTCGATAAAAGTTTGAAAATATATGTATAATATAAATGTATAAATGGTCGTATCGTCAATACTTAATGTCTGACTTGCTATGGAAAAAACTGACGCTACTCGAAATTCTATATTAACCAATAGACAAAAATACTTTCTGCTAGTGTTAAGTTTATTAATACAAGTATTATATTAATAATATTAGTATTATATTAATGTTCGTCTTATTTTGATGCGTATAAATATAGTTACATATTCGCGATACTTTCTTAGTTAATAATGATAAAATTGGATAAAATTGGATAAAATTGGCTTTTATAAGATGAATACTTGTAGTTGAACGGATCTATTCGTAAATTAATTTTTCTAAAGATGTATGAGAAAAAAATTAAATTGTACGTTAAATTCTTTTATGCATTCTTCTTTAATTTTATGTAAACGCATACGATTAATTTTTTCCTTTTGCATTATAATATATAGAGTTTGTATTTTTTGATGACATATTTAATTATTATAATAAATTTCTCATTTATATGTGTTAAATTTATGCTCATTTTATTTAATATATATTTTAAATGTGAATGTACTCTGTGTATTCATTTTTAGAAAAATCTTACAAAAGTGAAGATGACAAATACGAATGTATATATTTGTCAATTTTCTCATGAAATATTTTCTCTCTCTCTCTCTCTCTCTCTCTCTCTCTCTTTCTCTTTGTTTTTGTTTGCATTAATTTATAAAATAATTCATAAATTCATAATAATTATATTTTAATAATTGTTTATGGGATTCGATATTCAATTTCACGTATGAAAGTGTATCGTACGAACTTATTAAAAATAAAAATCAGCAATCGCCGTAACGATGTTTCGTATTGTGATTGTAATAGCAATAAAATAAATTATATATAATTATGTTGAAATGAATATTAATTATTTTTATCGCTATCTTGCGAATAATAAAAAATATTTATTATATGTAATATTAAAATATTGTAAACAATCGAAGGTAAGGATTATTTAAATAATTATATACCCCAAGTACATATCATTTTAGCAATAATAATAATAATATGGTAACATTTATTTTGATATAATTGAAGTTAATAAATACTAATTTATATCAATATTAAATCTATTTTAAACCTTCTTTTAAATTAAGAAAAACTTATTAAATCCAACTAGAACGTTGATTGTTTATTATATATATATAATAAACAATCATATATATATATATATAGGGATTTTACTATAAAAGAATATTTATGAAAAATATAAAGTGTTTAAAACAGAATGTAATTTTCTTAATATTTTATAAATAGTAATACTTTAGTCTTGAAATAGAAATCTTATGTCATACATCAAAACAAATACAAATCATTCAAATAAATAATTAATAATATGATTGAACATTCATCGAAATAAGCAAATTAAAACGAACACTAAAACAGTGCAATAATAATTGTTAATATTAATATATCATGCTTATAAAAATTAATTTACGTCATAAAGTAATCTATTTACTCGTAATACATGCACTAAAAAATACTGTTTTAAAGGTTAACAAAGATTATTTAAGTTCATCATTATTTTCATTTATGAAAAGATTTAACTTAATACAAATTTCTATTATGAAGTTATTAATATATTTGAAGCCTAAACAGTATTATTATTATTTTTCGACAAATATTTAATGTATTAACGATGTAAATATTTTTTTAATTTGTAACATAATTAGATAAAAATAAAAACTTATAAACTAGCATTTTCTATTTTTTGAAAGACCAAATGATATAATTATATATATATATATATATATATATATATATATATATATATTATACGAAATATTAAACAAAATGTATACTTTACATTTTATTTGTACATTCAACTGTAGAACACATTTACATGGTAATTTTTGTTTATTTTCTATGCCTGAGCAGATTTAAGATTGAATAAATTATACGTAGACAACAAAAAGTAAGTTTGTTTTATCACAAAGTAAATTTGTTAAAAAGCCTTCAAGAAATTAAGTATTTATTACAAATATATATAGCATTCAATAAATCTGTGTAACACACACATTATTAATATAATAATACATACTAATCAATATTACACACATTATTAATATAATAATACATACTAATCAATATTCTATGCTATGAAAATATTCTATTGCATTTTCATAAAATTGAAAATTCAAATATGATTAAAACATAGAAAGATAAGTTATGTAGTCATACTTTCACTATAAGATCATGCAATTACTCGATAAAATAAATACACGAGATTTTTACGAAAAAGGGAATTGATACATTTATTTATTTATTATACATTTATTGCAAACTTATTGAGCTTCTTAAATTATGCTCACTTCAGTCATTCAAATGTTATAATAATTTTAAGGAATTCATAACGTATAGAATCAATAATATATATATATATATATATATATATATATATATATATAAACTTTCCTTTTCAAATCCAATCCAATTATATGTAAAAAAAAATAATGTTCAAATTTTATAAAGTATTAATCTAACGTTAATTTTTCTTCGTTTTTATGTTAATGAACGATGTTTATTCAGTATACATTTTGTTGAAAAAAAAAGAAAGAAAACAAATATACCAGCAGTTATTTATACATAAAAGTGCATCATAATGCAATTCCCTTATATAATCTTGTTTGAATATTTTATTACTGAATAACTTAGTAGAAAAGGAAAAAAAAAAGAAGAAGGCTAGAATGAGATTATTATCAATGATGAATCATGAATACTCCGCATTGACAAGTCAAACTCAGTTGAAGAAATCTACGTAAGTCGTCAAGACGTGTTAGAATTAGTTTTGAAAAAATTTTTAACATTAGCACAGCTTACAGGTATACACTGATTTCTATATTTATTTTCATAAAATTTTTATCAAGAGCTTTTATAGATATTATAAGTGTGATAAATACTGATAAAGGTACTGATGAATTTATTAGTATTTAAATGATAAGTTAAAACTATTTAATTGGTAGGGAAATGGTTAAGGCACATCTTTATCAATTATGAGATAATTATGAATGTCCTGTTACTGATGTAATACGATAAAGGAAAAAAATCATGTGTATAATTGTTATTTTTTTTTTTTTTTTTTTTGTAACAAAATTTGTTATATATTGACGAATTGTATAATTTTTAATTTGACTCTAAATTTTTTACTTCAATTTATGCCGATAACATTATTTAATTTTTTAAAAATTTTATCTTCATTGTTTAGTTAATCTTTAATTTTGAATTTTTTAAAATAAAATTTGATGTATCACTAATTCTGAACTATGCTATAAAAACTAAAAACTAAAAAGTAAAAAGAAAAAAGTAAAAAAAAAATCTCATACTATAGTCTATTTAAACTATAAAAACGTATTTATACGTATGTAATTGGAATTTTGTAATTAAAATCTTCTCATCGTGTTATTTGGTTTAAACTTTAAATTTTAGTGTGTAATAATGAATTGTAGCTAGGACTTTCAAAGTAAATAGTAAAATAATACGATGAATAATTGTAATTATTAGTTGTATTGGATATTAATAATTTAGTGAAATTTTGTGAATTAGTTATAATACCTAATGTGGGCCCTTGTTGTATAGCTTGATATTTATATAAAAATTTATATATACAAATAATAAAAGAAAATATGCTAAGAAAATCAGTAATTGTGAGAGTGAATTTTTTGTCCTTTTTTTTTTTTTTTTTTCTTTTGCTTCTTTTAGTTATCGTCAAAATAATGGAGGCTAACGTAGAGAACACATGCGGCTCAGTAGCAACGGGTTCACCTGCTTTCGTCTTCACTCAGCTCATGCAGACTTTATTGATTGCACAGTGTTCGATAACGCAAAAACAAACGTATCCGGCCGACCGCACCGAAGAAATTGTTAATGAGAATTTGGAGTTTGATTTTATTGTCGTGGGAAGTGGTTCGGCGGGCTCGGTAGTCGCCAGTCGTCTATCCGAAAATCCGAATTGGCGTATACTTCTAATCGAATCAGGGAGCGATCCATCGATCGAGAGCGAGATCCCGAGTTTCACCATGTCCTTACAAAACACTAGGGAGGATTACTTTTACAAAGTGGAACCTAGCGATAAGTACTGCCAGAGTATGAAGAACAAGCAGTGCATTTGGTCTAAGGGGAAGGCACTGGGCGGCAGTTCAGTGATCAATGTTATGATTTACATTCGCGGCTCGGATCGCGATTATAATCAATGGGCGGAATTGGTCGGCGAGGATTGGAGCTACGAAGGCGTTCTCCCCTATTTCCGTAAGCTCGAAAATTATCATCCGGACGTCGTTGGAAAGTACAAGGATAAATCAATCGGCACTGGCGGGCCCATGAGCTTGAGATCATTCAATTATTCGATAACTGACATTCACAATGTCATTACGAGTGTTGTAAAGGAGCAAGGTTTTCAACTTATCGATTTGATCAACATGGAGCAATATGTGGGCTTTGGCATATTATACGGGACTGTTGACAATGGTCTTCGACAGAATGCGGCAAAGTCTT